CAGGTTAAAATGACATGTTTCTGATTATTTCTTCTAGAGTTGCTGGAATTATAAAAATGTTTTTATGAGAAATTTTTTTGAAAACTTTTTTGTTCAAGCATCGTATTATATATGAAGTCGTATGTTATTCGAGTAAATTCAATTGTGTCATTTTTACGAGACAAAAACGTTAGTCGCATTTAGGGCTTGGTAGTTAGAGCGCTTAAATTCTTTTATACATAATTCATATATTTGTAAAAATAATTATAATGATAGCATACATTAACATTAATAAATTATGTATGAATTTAGTGAACAATATTAATGTAGTAATAAATATGTTACCAACGAGACTGAGTACTTGGTTTGTTATTTTAGAGTAAAAAAGAATGGGTTGTGTCAATAGTCGGACAGATATTAATGATTTACATCCAAATGTATTTCAAGTGATGAACGTAGACGATTTAGGTAATTTAATTACCCCTGGACGCTTAGAAGTTACTGAAACTGATATAGTGCTTTATCAACGCGGTAAACAGCCCATAAAATGGCCTTTGCGTTGTTTACGCCGGTATGGTTATGATGCCGAAATATTTAGTTTTGAATCTGGTAGAAGATGTCCCTCAGGGCCAGGCATTTATGCCTTTAAATGTCATAGAGCTGCTCATTTATTTAATTTAGTACAAACGAATATTCAGGTTTGTTATTTTGAACATATATATTCTTGGTATAGTTAAGTACTTCATTGAAATATAATTATTAAAGTATATTCATTTTTGTAAATAGTTATCTTCTAAATGATAGTATAGAAAAATAAATTAGATATGTAAATTGAAATTCCTGTTCAGGTTTGTAATAACAGTGGGGATGATACAATGTCCAGAGAACTACCAATTGCTTCTCATTCTGGTCCAACAGTAACAAGAATGACAATACCAGTTGAGCCTAATTATTTGGATCCAATACAAACTAGAAGTAGTAATTGTATGGTTCAGAGACTCGGCCACAATCATCAAAATGGAATTGGAAGATTAGGTAGTGTGGGAAGTAGCACTGGTCTTATATCGCCACAAGGAACCATAGGTTCACCTTCTCCACCTCCTGTGCTGCCACCGCCTCCACCACCTTTCCCTCAACCAAATCCGTCCTCGCTATATGTCAATGAAGAAGTATTGTCACCTTTATCATTAGAAATGGAACATAATAATAACAAAAGTCCTAGAAGAGCAATACAGAGGTAAAGAAAATTTTTGTTTGCATTATTGCTAATATTGTGTATCGATTTAATAAATTTTTATTACTTTTATAGATCCTGTACAATGAGTAATTCGGTATCTGATAATGTCTCGGTATCACTGGAATTTACGTCTACCCATAAAAATTTAAAAGTCACCACTCAATCTAAATCATCGCTTCCAACAACTGCAGCTTACATGAATGTAGATATTAGTAATGATATTAGTTCACTTTCTCCGACTCATAGTGTGCCTGAAACAATACAACTTAAAGAAGACAAAAATGAAAATAATGAACCTGGACACGCTTATATGAATATTAGTCCAGGCGACGAATGTACAGAATTATTTGTTACTAGAGTACGACCATCGCCTTTGCCATCTATTCAACCTGACATGGAAGAAACAACAAGACACTGTTATGCTAACTTGGAAGCAAATGAAATTGAAAGTTTAAGAAAAAGATTTTCTAGTGTATCTGTAGCAGAGAAGTCTCCTTTGACTCCATCGACACCTACAGGTGGTCCAATTAGAGAAGTAAATTATGCTGTATTAGATCTGGACACGAAGGATGTGCCAATCAATTCATCATTGGAAGGTCCTTCAAATTTATCTGCATCTCCTCCAGAGTCACCGAATAAGTTACAAAAAGGGTATGCTACAATAGACTTTAATAAGACAGTTGCTCTTTCGCATTCTGTCAACCCAAACCTTGTAAATGATAGTGAAGGTTCAAGGAAAACGCGTCACAATTCCACGATTAGTGACTTAACAGCACCCTGTAGACGTAGCTCATCTGTAAGTGAATGATCGATTTTTTTACTTTATAATTGTGCCTACAGAATGAATATTTATAGCATTTTATAGAATGACAATGTGCTTTACAGTTTCTTTAAAATCAAACTAATGCCAAACCAAAGACATCAAGTTAGTTTGCAAACCGTTTATATGATATTAATCATGCTAAAATGTGTTCTGTACGAAGCAGTGTACCTTGATTC